CTTGGTACTGGGCACAGGAATTTGAGTTGACGATTGGTAGGTGGTATGTCTAAGCTTCACTCGTGTACTAAATACCAGCACTCGTGCTGGTCAATACTTAATCATTCCACAAAAGTATTCAGCTCTAGGTTTGTGTACGTGTGCCCAGGGCCTGTGCCCAAAGTAACTTTTATCAGTATGTATGAAATCACTAGTCTTTAATTTTAAAGGTCTGTGGTTTCTTGGAAGTAGCTGGAAGATTGAGGAAGACCTTTGATCTGCAGTATAAAATCAGCCAGTCATGGGTCAGAAGGGCAGAAGCCCAGCCCTCCCTTTGGAGAGGTTTAGGGTATGGTCTGCTGATGACCAGATTTTCCTCAGGGCCCAGCATCCATGTCCATACCAAGCAGATCCTCGTCCTCTCTGTGACTGTCTTTGTTACTCTTGGGGGTTTCGATAGATCACATGTGGCCAAACCTCTTTTTCTCAATGAAGAACCATACTGGATTTTTATTCTGTTCTGTTTTGAGTTTACACTACAGTCTGGTCCCCAGTCCAGACAACCTGTGTGAAGTGACTCTTCCCGTGTTAGTCTGTTAATCCTGCCCTCCTCGGTGCTAGACTCCAATCGTGCCTCAGGGCAGAGGACACAACACACAACTATTCTGTTGGCCTCTGTTGTGGTTTTGGAGTTTGTACGTTCTCTGTGGGTGCCAGTTAAATATTGGAGAGCAAGGAATGTGTACTTCCGTGGCTTTAAACCAAGAGAAGGTTACGAGCTTACCCAGATCAGGGGTAAAATCTGAGAACCAACATTTAGAGTTTTGTGCTTTTCTCTCATTCCAACCCCTCGAGGGGCTGCTACTTCGCATGAGCTCGGTGCATGACGGGTAGTGACAGAGTCCAACATGAAGGTGTAAAGTCCCAGTTATTATCTCAGAAGCCAAGGAATAAAAAAAACATGTGAAATAAAAGAAGACTCAATGGAATAGTGACCCTGGTGCTTGCACTCTAGAAATCTTGGCCTGAGCTGCTATAAAATACCCTTTCAGAAACAGGACCTTATCAGTAAGGTAAGAAAAATCAAGGCCAGTTAAGACAAAATGCTGTGAATTTGAAACTCAATGGAGAAACATCAGTCTGGGATAGGTTTTCAGTGTTTATGACAGAGTGTCACAAAAAACCTGAATTCCAGCAGTTCTTAGATTACGTTGCCAAAGGAAGAAGTTATGAAGGAGAAAAAATTTAAAGCTTAAATTCCATCTTTCTTCAGCTCTTGGATTGTGATAATCTCATTGACTTTCATTTTTGTATCCCTGTTGATTTGGAATTTAGTGCCTGACTTCTTTGTTCTTTTGGATCCAAAAGAACCAAGATCCAAAAGATCCAAAATCTTTTCCTCCTTCGCTGTTCACATGTCTTAGAAGCCTGTATCCCCATTTCTTTGGCCCCTTATTCTTTCCTTTCCTTTTCTTTCAGTTTAATCCCATGTGTCTAGTTTATGAAATCTCCCTAGCCCTCCTGAGGCAGTGGAGATAGATACCAACCAGAAGTTGTGAAACTTAGTAGAGACCTGACGTACCCTTCAGGGAGAAATTGTCCTGTTGGAATTGCTAAAGGCTGGTAAAGGGCTACCTACTGGTTCCATCCGCAGAGTCACAGAATCTTAACTGCTATCTCCAGTCTCTGTTGGAGGAACACTCGGCCCCTCATTGCCCACAAATGGGGAATCCTCTGTGTCCACCAGGGAATTAGAAATTAAGGTTTCTTCACTACTTCTATGGTAGGGCTGTCTGGAATTCTATTTCAGACTGTGAGGCTCTGGGCTTGGGTTCTAGCCACAAGGGGTTTCTTATAAGGACCTGGAAGGGGAGGGGGCAGGGGTTACATGTTCATGTCATTTCATTTTGATCCTGCTCTCTCCAGCTGCTTCTTTCAGAAGATACATCTAAAGATAAAAAGTCTGCATTTGATATAATGCCTTAATCACTGAGTCTACAATTCATGTTGACCATTTTAGATTGTAAGCTCCTGGAGAGCAGTATTGCTGTAGTAGGAATATTTTAACAGTGTCATATGTAACAGAACAAAATAAATATTTTGATTTTGTGATTCTACGCATGTCTTTCTACCTAGTGATAGCAGAATAAGTGGTCTCTTCATTGGACATTACCATCATTTTTTTTTTAAAGATCTTATTTATTTATTTGAGAGAGACAGTGAGCAAGAGAGAGAACACAAGCAGGGGGAGCAGCAGAGGAAGAGGGAGAAGCAGGCTTTCTGCTGAGCAGGAAGCCCCATGTAGGGCTCAATCCCATGAAGGCAGATACTTAATGATTGAGCCAACCAGGCACCCCAACCATCAATTTTTAAGATGTCAGTCTTTTAAGTGACAAGATCCCTTTATGTTTTCATCTCACTCTCCTCTTACTCTACTTAAAATGACAAGCTTGGGGCACCTGGGTGGCTCGGTTGAGTGTCTGACTTTTCGTTTCAGCTCAGGTCATGATCTGAGGGGTCATGGATCAAACCCAGGTGTGGGGCTCTGTGTTCAGTGGGGAGTCTACTTGAAGATTGTCTCTCCCTCTCCCTCTGCTCACTCTTTTTCTCTTTCAAATAAATAAATCTTTAAAAAAGATAAAAATAAAAATGATAAGCAGAAAATTCCTGCCCACAGGTCCTGTCCCCATGCTTTAATAAAACCACCTTTTTGCACCAAAAATAAATGAATAAATAAAAATGATATGCTAGGGGGCCCTGGGTGGCTCAGTCTAAGTACCTGCCTTCAGCTCAGGTCATGATCCTGGATTGAGCCCCGCATCTGGCTATCTGCTCAGCAGAGAGCCTGCTTCTCCCTCTCCCTCTGCTGTCCCCCGCCCCACTTGTTCTTTCTGTTAAATAAATAAAAACTTTAAAAAAAGAGAGACAATTTTTTTTTTTAATGTTAAGTTAGTACTGCCAGATCTACATGAACTTTCGCACAGGAGTCAAGGGTCTTCATGAAGCGGCAAATCTCTCAGTATACCAAGGATTCCTGAATTTACAAGCTAACCCATCATATCATATAATCCCTTCTGTGGTTATGCTGTCAGGAAAGAGGCCCTAAATTGGGCCTCTAAGGATCTCCACTGCCAAGCCTCAAGATGAGCATTGGCCCTGTCCGTCCTTTCAGTAATGCCAGAATGCTGGTGTTATTTGCTCCTCCTGCTGGCCCCCAGAAGGCATCTTACCATCCAGTACCATTCCTATTCTCCTCCATAGTGTAGTATGATGAGCAGGGACTTTGGAGTCAAACATGTCCAGGTTCGAATTCTGGCTTCCCCGCTTAGAAGTGTAACCTTGGGCAAGTGATTTTAATAATCCCTAAACCTTAGTGTTCTCATTTATAAAAATGCAATAATAGCACCATTTTCAACTTAGGAGCAATATATATAAAGCACCTAGCACTTAACAGGCAACCAAACCATAGTAACTTTTTGATTATTTTTACTCCAGCTTTCAGGAAACTAAAGGTAAGCTCTTCTGGGTGAGTTCAATACCTCTTCACAAGCACTTGACGATCTTCTATACATGCACCCTATGACCTGAGGAATAAGAGAACCCATGCACGTAATTTCAGTTGTGTCTGTAAGGATTTATAGCTGTCATAGGTAGGAGATAAGGGCAACAAACAAGTAAGCCCTTATCTAATGTGGCGAATGTCTCATTCTTTGTAGTTAAAATAGTAATATAGATAAAATTTCCTGAGAACTGAAATAGCATCCTCTCCCTCCACCTCTGTGGACCCCACTTTCTAGACCCAGCTGGGGGGGTGGACGGAGACTGGGAAAGCAGTGTAGCAATAAAGTTTAGAAATTTGGGTTCAGAGATCAGTATGCTTGGGTTCAAGTCTCAGCTCTATCCCTTAATTAGCTGAGCATCTCATAGGAGTTAAAGACTGAGACAATCAGCAGACAGCACTCAGTGTGGTGCCTCCATACAGAGCCTTCTGAATGTTGGCCAAGTGAAAGGAGGCACAATGTTCTCATGCTTCTGTGCCTATGTGCTGGGAAGCCAGGGAGAGCTTAAGGCAGAGGCTTGTTTCTCCCGTTTTTTTGTTTGTTTTTTGTGGTTTTTTTTTTGCCCTTCCATACTGGCCTTTGTGGGCTTCAAGGTGATATTACTCAGTTTTCCTATCTAGAGCCTGACTTGATGTGTCTTCAAGACTGTAAAATAACAAAATTAAAGGTCCTTGATCAGACTGGAAGAATAAAGATTTTGTTAGAATAGTTGGAGGAAGAAGAGAAGCTATATATTCTCCTTTCCCTGCCTCTCTCACATTTTTTATTTTTTTAAGGATTTTATCCATCTTCAAAGAGAGAAGAAGAGAGCACATGAGCACAGAGAGGGGCAGAGGGAGGAGAAGCAGACTCCCCAGGACTCCGAGATCATGACCTAGCTGAAGTCAGACACTTAACCAACTGAGCCATCCAGGCACCCCTCCTCCACATTCTGAATACCCAGCCTTAACCTATCCCTGGAAAGATGGGATAAAATCTTGCTAAGGGTCTCTTTAGAACTGATGATTCTAGAGGTTCCTTCTACCACAGCTGGCAGTTCCCTATAGTTGAATTAAATGGTAAAAACAACAGAACATGATTTTTTTAACTTTACTTTTTTTTAGTAATCTCTACACCCAAAGTGGGCTTTGCAGTCATGACCCCGAGAACACGAGTCTCATGCTCCTCCAACTGAGTGAGCCCAGTGCCCTGGACCTGATTCTAAATCATCCTCTCGATTGGCTCCTCAGTGGGAAAAATTTTTAGGCCAGTTGGAAAAGGAAGGAAAACTGGAATGACGGTAATTCCTTTTAGGAGCATTCCTATTATTGTGTCCCTCCACTGTCCGTCCCCTCCCCCGAAATTACACTCAGACTAGCTACGAAGCCATTCTGTAAACAGATTCTGGAAACCACAGCTTGATTACATTTACACAAAATCACTAGAATCTAATCTCCACAAGGGCAGGGATCTTTGATTTTGTTCACTGATGTTACTAAGTGCCTAGAATAGTATCTGGCATATAACAGGCACTCAATAAATACTTGCTGAACAGATGAGCTGGAAGAAAGTCAGTGACAGGGATCAAATGCAAGTGTTCCGTGTTTCAAGTGTCTCAATAAAGGTGGGAAGAGTGATGTTACCTCTCATAGCAATTACCTTTTAAAGTCTGAGGGTTAACAGTGCTAGGATTATGCTTCATTAAGGGCGTCGCACACTTTTCCAAAAATATATTTATTTTAAAAAACAAAAATGAGACAAGTTTTATAGAGTCAGATTTTCCGGAGACAAACTAGAGTTTCAATTTCCACTTCGAGCAAAAGTTAAGCATCAGTAATCTCATGCAGAAGTATTTCTCTGCAGGAGGTAAAATATTCTACTTGACTGCAAGCACTCAGTTCTCTAAATCTTGTTTGTACTTCTGCCATCATTCTACTCCATTCCAGGGCTCTGGCATGCAAGATAATCCGCCTCTAAAATTCGAAACTTCCAAATTGAGATGAACGATTGTTGGGTTTGGGTTGGGGTTTATAACCAATTCGATCATTAATCATTTGTTCCCTGCTCTTGGGGTCACTGCTGAGCCCAATGGCGCCTTCTCCATCACTGATTCCTACGACGTCCACTTCTTCCTTTTGTTTCTTTCGGGTCTGGAGGTATAAAAATCTTAAGATTAAGGCAACATTCTCTCCATTAGCAAACCTTTATTTGGCACCTGCCAGGCACTAGGCATAGGGTGAAGGCTAGCGTTACGGCCTACAGAACAATAAGGTGAAATCCTAGGTTTAAATGGATAATAGGACAAGCGGGGATACAGGGACGTAGTGAGAAAAGATAAAACCCCTACCCTCCCGGATGTCACAGTCTAACAGGGAAATAAGTAAACAGACAATGACAACATAGGGTGATCATGGTATGACAGAGGAACGTCCATACTGTGAGAAGATACAAAGAAGAGGTAAAGAATTGGGTGTGTCATGGTGGAGCTTCAGAGCCGGGAACTGCAATTAGAAAAACAAATAATATAGGAGAAGAATGGATGTTAGCTGAAGCTCCTGTGGTCATCATTTCACAATATATGTAAATTACACCATCATGGCTACGCCTTAAACTTCCACAGTAGCGTATATCCGTTATTTCGCAATAAAACTAGAAAAAAAAAAAGATAAATAAGTTGGCAGACGGGGGAGAGAAGGGTTTTGTTTGTTTTTTTTTTTTAAGATTTTATTTTTAAGTAATCTCTACACCCAACAGGGGGCTTGAACCTACAACCCTGAGATCAAGAGTTGGATGCTCTACCGAATGCACCAGCCAGGCACCCAGGAAAGGGTGTCTCAGTAAAGGTATTACTCAAGAGAACAGATGGAAAGATTAAGTGACTGGTAAAGCAATAACCACCGGAAATTAAGAGCTTCATTGACACCATGAAATTAAATGTAACACAGGAATACAAGATTCTGTGCTGTCTTATCAAAACACCTGAATTCTGAGGTTTTTGTTTTGTTTTCAGGTAAAAAGTTTGGCTCTTGGGGCGCCTGGGTGGCACAGTCGGTTGAGTATCTGACTCTCAATTTCAGCTCAGGTCATGATCTCGGGGTCGTGAGATCCTGCCCCACGTGGGGCTCCAGGAGCTCAGACTTTGGGCTGATTCTTTCTCCTTCCTTCTGCTCCTCCCCCTGCTCACATACTCTCTCACAGATTAATTAATTAAATCTTAAAAAAAATAAAGTGTTTGGCTCTTAAGTCACAAGTGACTGCAGAATTCACCAAGTCAGTATCTGAGTTTGATCTTTTTTTTTTTAAGATCTTGTTTTTAAGTCATCTCTCCACCCGACTTGGGGCTTGAACTCACAACCTCAATATCAAGAGTTTGCACAATCCACCAACTGAGCCAGCCAGGTAGCCCTCAGTTTGATCATTTTCAAGGACAGATTAACCCTTATCCCATAACCACTACGACCTGACTAAAAAGAGGGTATTACATAATAATGTTCTCTGAGAAAGTGAACAAATATTTTATCTAGCGTTCCTTAGAAGAATGGCTTGACTCCTCTAACCACTGGAATCGCCCCCATTCTTCAGAACTTACTAATGAACTCAGCATTAAATGCCAATCATAGTATCATACTAAGTCAAGTATTACTTTATATATGTGTGTGTGTATAAAATGACCTTTCTGAGTTACTCTCTACTGAGTCTACACTACCAATAAGTAACATTACAAATAGCTCAGTGAAAACAGGTTAAAAGGCAAAGGATATTATCATTTTATAAGCCATGAGAAACTGAGAACGTCCCAATGGTATGAAATCATTTAAAAGGCTTCCCACCATGAACAAGTGCTGACTTTCAGAATCCAGTCATCAAAATGTAATTAAACTAATTTCAGTAACAAATGAAATACCAGTTTCTATCGGTGTAATTTCATTTTAGTCATGGGCAAATCTATCCCTAAGTTGCTCTAAAACAGGTCAGGGGCACCTGGGTGGCTCAGTGGGTTAAGTCTCTCCCTTCGGCTCGGGTCATGATCCCAGGGTCCTGGGACCGAGCCCCACATCAGGCTCTCTGCTCAGCGAGGATTCTGCTTCCCCCTCTCTCTCTGCCTGCCTCTCTGCCTACTTGTGATCTCTGTGTCAAATGAATAAATAAAATCTTAAAAAAAAAAAAAAAAAAACAGGTCAAACGCACTAGATAATTGCCTTTAGTAGACAGACTAACTCAAAAGTGAGCTGATTCTGCAAAATCAAAGTTCAGCATTCCAACACTTTATGAGACTCATTACAGCTAAAGATTAAATTGTAGTGAAAGGACACTGCAGGGGAAGGCAACCAAGGGTGCAGACGCACCAAGATTTAAGTTGAAGATAACCTGACAGTGGAAGATAACGTAAAGATAAAGTTAAGGTAAAGATAAAGTTAGATAAAGGACTAGACCACAAACAACCTTATATGCCATCCTAAGGTATCTAGACTTTATTCTCAGAGCCATTGAAGAGTTTAAGTCTTATTAATGGACATCATTTAATACTAGGGGATAAGCTACACTTAAAAATACACATTGAGGGGCACCTGGGTGGTTCAGTCATTAAGCATCTGCCTTCAGCTCAGGTTCGAGCCCCACATCAGGCTCTCTGCTCGGCAAGAAGCCTGCTTCTCCCTCTTCCCCCCGTTTGTCTTCCTTTTCTCATGGTCTGTCAAATAAATCTTTTTAAAAAAACCAAAACAAATACATATTGATGGGGCACCTGGGTGGCTCAGTCAGTTAAGCCTCTCCTTCAGCTCAGGTCATGATCTCAGGGTCCTGGGATGGAGCCCCACATTGGGCTCTGCACTCAGCAGGGAGTCTGATTCTCTCCCTTCCTCTCCCTCTGCCCTACCCCCCACTTATACTCTTTCTGTATCCCTCTCAAATAAATAAATAAATAAATAAATCTTTTAAAGAAGAATACATATTGAGCTTCTACCAGGATGCAGGGACGAGCTCCTTCCCCAATGCTGGGATTCAACAGTGAAGACAAACGTGATTTCTACAATCAGGTTTCCTAATGTAAATAAATGCTACAATAAACAAATCATTATAAATTATAATAAATGCTATAAAAATAAAAGGATAAAATGCTTTGGGTCAGCTGGCTAGCTCAGTTGGTAGAGCATGTGACTCTTGAGCTTGGAGTTGTGAGTTCAAACCCCACGTTGGACATACATATTACTTAAAAAAAAAATACAATAAAAATAAAGTGCTTTGAGAAAGCCTAAGGAGGAACAGCATGGATGGGAATGACACCCCTAATCTGAATAGGGTCAGAAGCAGCCTCTTAGACTGAAGAAATGATATTTAAACAGACGTGAAGACAGGAAGAGGAAAGTAACATGTACAAAGGCCAAGAGTGATGAACAGCTTGGTGTGTTCAAGGAAATGAAAGAAAGCCAACATGCTTGGGGTACAGAGGCCAAGGCAAAGAATGGCAGGAGTTGAAACCTGAGGAGCCAGAACATACAAAATTTTGTAGGCCACAATAAGCAGTTGAAATTTTATTCTAAGTGCAGGAAACCACTGAGTTTTAAGCAGGGGAATGACATGATCTGAAAATTTGTAAGGCTCGTTCTAAAAACCAGATGTAGAATGGATTAACAAGATAAAAATGGAAGCAGGAAGACCACTGAGAATGCAACTGAAATTTCAGAGAGAGAGGTGACAGTTACTTCCACTAAGGTAGTAACCGTGGAGCTACATGGGGTGAATCCAAATGGTAAGGAAAAGGAAGAACTCAAGAGTGACTCCCAGGTTTCTGGCTCAAGCAGCTGCAGAGATACTGACACAGGGAACACCTGAAACTAGCTTGAGGAAGAAATCAGGAGGTCTTTTATTTTAACATGTTAAGTGCAGGAGACTGAGTAGTGACTTCCAAAGCTCTCAGGACCTAATTCCTGAACCTCTGAACATTGCCTTATATGGAAAAGGATCTTTGCAGATGGGATAAGGATCTTGAGATGGGAGACATTAGCCAGGATTATGTGGGTGGGCCCTAAATACCATTCCATGTATCCTTGTAAAAGAAGACAATGGGAGATTTCACAGACACAACAGGAGAAAGCAATGTGATCCAGGATGCAGAGATTGGAAAGATGTGGCCACAAGTCCAGAAATGCCAGTGGCCACCAGAAGCTGAAAGAGTCAAGGAACAGATTCTTCTCTACAGTCTCTGGAGGGCACGTGGTCCTGCTGACACCTTGATTTGGGACCAGTGATACTGATTTCAGATTTCTGACCTACAGAATGGTAAGGGAATAAATTTCTGTTGTTTTAAACCACCAAGTTTGTGGTAATTTGTTACGGCAAGCCACAGGAAACTGACACATTAAGTTTGAAATGCCTGTCCAGCAACCACATAGAGGTTTCAATAAGGTGTTGGTAAAAGGGTCTGGATTTCAAAAGTTAAAGTTATTGTTTTAAATATCCTTAAGGATTTGAAAGTTGTACTCTTACCTCAAGGTCCTTTCGAATGCTCTCAAACTCCTCAATGTCATCAAGCTTCAGCTCCAGGCGGGTTGGTTTTCGCCGCAGCATACTGAGATCAACACTAAAGGCCAGACCCAGAGAACTACCAGCTGTTAGAAACAGCAGAAGAGGAAGGTGATAAAGCTTGGCTACAAATACAAGATCAATTTGTCAGCATGCATGCTAAAGGAATGGTGATACAAAAGACTCATTTGGGTTCACACATAGACTTCTAAGTCATTAGATGAGTGATTATTACATGATGGAGATCCATAACTCTTCAATTAAAAAAAAAAGTCTTCAAGAAAAAAAAGAGCAAGCTACCTATAAAAAAGAGAATTCTAGGCAACAATCAATTCAATTTTATATTTCAATCACATCCAAAGAATTATTCTAGCTCAAAGAATAAAGTTAAAATAACACATCTTAATTCAGTATAATTACTGGGAGAGTACATACGCCAATAAATTAGATCAACTCTGCATGAGAACTGTGACAGATCTGTGGTCACTCCTGAATACTTAAAATCAGCTTACTAAATCTCATGAAAACTCCCTATAACTCACCAATTCACAGAGTTATCCTCAGGGTCTAAACAGGTCCTAAATGGAAAGGTCATTCATTAAACAAACACTTCTTGTGCTCCTGCTCCAGAGTTAAAAGGCATAGTCACAGCCTGTGGGGAAAACAAACATGTAAACAGAAAATTGCAACACACTCTAATAAGGACTCAGATGGAGGACAATGCAATGGCATCACACAGGCACCCAATCCAGTCTGGGTGGTGTGTGGGGTAGACAGGGACATGGAAGACTTCCTGGAGGAGATCTCTTAGCTGACTTGTGAAGGGCAGGCAGAGAAAAGCAAGTAACAGAGAGAGAACAAATAGACAAAGAGGCTCAAAAGAACAATCCTGAGGCTGAAAGCCAAAGATAATGCTTACGCTAACAAGAACCAATTTTTTTTTTTAAGATGATGAAACTCACCAAGTGAGTTTAACACCGATTAATGGCATCATCTTAATATTCTCCTTAACACCCAGCAGAGTACATGTGTTGGTGAATAAACTGAGACACCCAAATAAAGTGAAATGAACTTTTCTTGAGCACTGCGCTACACTTTTCCATTCCTATTCTTTACATTTTTATTTGAACACAGGGACCCTGTGCTGTTGGCAAAATTACCTCTATTTTATAAATGAAGTTGAAGCTCTTCTGTTATAAATGTCAGCCTCCTATAAAACTTACACACAGGTCTAAGTGGTGAGGATTAAATGAGAATGATGTAAATGAAAGCTCCTTTAAAGTACGTACAGCTATAGGGGTGCCAGGCTGGCTCAGTCAATAGTGCATCAGACTCCTGATCTCAGGGTCATGAGTTCAAGCCCCACACTGGGCATGGAACCTACTCAGAAAAAAAAAAAAGGGGGGGGGGGCGCTGTGGAGGGTGCCTGGGTGGCTCAATCAGTTGGGTACCTGCCTTTGGCTCAGGTCATGATCCCCAAGTCATGATCCCCAAGTCGTGGGATCCAGTCCCCTCCCCTGGCTCGTGGGTACATACACACACCCTCTTTTATTTAAATAAATAAATATTTTTTTTAAAGTATGTATGGGTACAAATTATTATTAGATCTTTCTAGGACGTAGCTAGAGACTACAAAGTATACAAAGGAAGAAATGTATCCTTCCATGAAGCTTGGAACAGAACAGGTGATGTTCTCAACACTGGCACATTACATTTCATATTGTTTTATATAGTTTCAGATAGTATCTTAGGGAACCTGGCTGGCTCATTCGGTGGAGCATGGGACTCTTCATTTGCAGGTTGTGAGTTTGAGCCCAAGGTTGGGTGTAGAATTACTTAAAAATAAAATCTTAAAAAAAAAAAAAACCCACAAAACTAAAATAAATAAATCAGAAACGATCTTAAATCCAATGTAAACAAATGGTAGAGGAAGCCAAAATTCCAAGGGAGAGTAAGGAAGGAAAGAATATGTAAAAGAGAAAAGCTCTGCTGTACATTTTCTTACATTTTCGTCCCTTTTCTGCAAATTGTGTAAAGCTCGCCACTGGGAGGCAGTACAGAGTAAAGGGCAAACGTGCTCGGTCAAGAGGCGAAAGGGCAGAGGACAGATTCTAATCCCACATGCCACTTATCTTGGACACTCAGTTTCATCTTTCACTAGACTTTAGTCTCCTCCTGTTCTGTACTCTGTCGTATAGACTGAACGAGGTAAGGCACTGTAAGTTCCTGGAACATAATCTGGCATTTAATAAACGCCCAATAAATAATAGCTATTATTACCGTAACTGTCCTTGCAGAGGTTTGGGGAGGGGGCTCTGCCCAGCTCGAGGAACACCAATATTTTAAGCGTCTCCACCCCCGATACGAGGGCAAAGCCCTGGTCTTGTTCATCTCCGCAGCCCCAGCCCCCAGCAGAACACAGGGCCACGCAGAGTTGGGGGTGTGCCCTTTACCTGACGCCCTCACAGGCATCCTCTCTCTCAGAGTCAGATACAAAGACCGGGCTGAAGACAGACAACAGCAGGCCGTGGCTCCTCCCCGGATCTTTATTTTATTTCGGCGCTAGAGGGCTCTTCGAGCTTAATCTGCCGCCACTGCCCAAATCCACCAAAAATTCACCCAGCTCAGAGGAAGGCCCTGGTTAAACTTCCCGACAGCGGAGGAGAACAGCACTCCGTCCGCAGCTCCAGAGTAGCACTCCCGGGTCCAGAGCGAGGGTTTCCATGGCCTCATGGCCCTCCGCTCCAAGAAGACGGAAGCCTCTCGGAAAGCCGGGGGCGACGTCAGGGCTGAAAAGCCCTCCATTTGCTCCGGAGTTCAACCCCGAGCCGCGGGACTCAACGAACCTACCTCTTTTCAAACCGGCTCAGCCTCTTCCCGGAACCCCGGAGCCCACCGCGAATCTTCTGCGAAGCGAACTGGACTACATTTCCCAGAGTGCTTTGAGCCTCTCCCCGGCAGAACCTCGTTTTCGCGTGCTTTTCTCAGAGACTCTACGGTTCCCGCTACTCTTCGCGCCACGACGCTTCCGGTACTACCACTCCCATCATGCTCCACGCCTCCCGCGACGCTGCGTCGGCCCTCGGCCCACTTCCGATCCGTGACGTACTTCCACTTTGCTGGGCGCGCGGTGGACGGTCTGAAACGTAGAGCTCGGCTTTCGCTGTCGTTCCGCGGCTTGGGAGCTGAGCATGGCTACCTCACGAGCTTCCTCCACGGTACAGATCTCAGCTCACTCTGGCGAGGAACACGGAGGGGCTTGGGGGCGGGAGGAGCGGTTCCTGTGAGATGGGGCTGCTTGGGAACGGGCTAAGGTGGTGGAGGACTGAGGTGAAAGGCTGCGAGACTTGGTCCTTAGAGGAGCAGCGTTTTCCTGATCACTAAGTGCGTTCCGGTGTTGTAATGTAGTTCATTTGCACCTCTCACTACAGCCCCGAACTGTAAATACCTCTTCCAGCTGGTCCAAAAACGGAGCTCTGGAAGGGAGTAGTGTCTCGGCTCAAGTGTATGTGTACGTCACATTTCTTAATTATAGTAAGGCTTCCTAACTTCATATATATTGCCTTACGGTTCTTGATATTTCCCGTGATGAGCAGTAGCCTTGGAAGTTTCATAAAACCCAAGAGGAGATTGCAACGGAATGATGTAACTGTGTTCCAAAGCAAATCTGTGATAGAAAACTTACCAAGAGTAATTCACTAGTTTTATTAACTTCTTCCTATCTGCAAAGCCTAAGTAATTGACAGACACCCCCATCCCTGCTGCCCCCGGTCATGAAGATCTCTTAACCGCTGACCAGCTTGTTCTTTCCTTTGAGGAGCTCCATCCTTGAGCGGAGCTTAATAAATGACTGAGATTAAGGCTCAGGTTAATCTATGCCTTTGATTTATCAGGCAACCAAAACTAAGGCACCTGATGACTTAGTTGCTCCTGTTGTGAAGAAACCACACATCTATTATGGAAGTTTGGAAGAGAAGGAGAGGGAGCGTCTGGCCAAAGGAGAGTCTGGGATTTTGGGAAAAGAAGGACTTAAAGCTGGAATTGAAGCAGGAAATATTAACATAACCTCTGGTAAGACGCAAATTGTGAGTCTCTCTTTATCTTTGTATCATAGTCAGAAACTTCAGTTAGACCTGGATTTGTGTAAGGCCATCCTTTGCCTACCCTGGTTAGCATCATCCAAAGAGCCTGTCGCTTAAGACCTTTATACGGTTTTTCTTCCACTGAGTCATTAGTAATCTTATCAGGAATTTATTCAGTGTATATTTGGATTCAAATTGATCCCATTTATCTTGTGAAGATCTAGTATAGTTTTGGCATTGGTTTGGAGCAACTATGGTTTGTAACATTTTTTTCCCTTTTTAGTTTCCCAATTTTTAAGTGAAAGATCTGTTTTAAATCATAAAAGTAATATTTTTTTTAAACTTTTTAAAAAAATTTATCTGACAGAGAGAGAGACATCACAAGTAGGCAGAGAGGCAGGCAGAGGGGGAGAGGGAAGCAGGCTCCCCATAGAGCGGAGAGTCTGATGCGGGGCTCAATCCCAGGACACTGAGATCATGACCCGAGCCGAAGGCAGAGGCTTAACCCACTGAGCCACCCAGGCGCCCCAAAAGTAATATTTTTATTTTGAAAGAAATCAAAGTATTAGGGTGCCTGGGTGGCTCAGTCAGTTGTCTGTCTTTGTCTCAGGTCATGATCTTGGGGCCCTGGGATCAAGCCCCACATTTGGCTCCACTCAGCTGGAGTCTGCTTCTCTCTCTCACTCCTGTGCACACGCCTGTTCTCTCTTGCTCTCAAATAGATAAGTAAATCTTAAAAAATCAAAGCGTAGAAATGTGTAAAGTAGAAAATCCTGTAAATTTTATTGGCTCTATATCTTTCTGATAACTTAATAAAGCTGTAAAAAATTACGATTTTTTTCACAAATGGAACATATGCAAGTTGCTTTGTAACTTAAGTTTTTCAGTGATATGCTGTTGAGATTAGCTTTCCATGTCAGTAACTAATGGTCCTCTATATCTTTATTTATTTAGAGAGTGCATGAGCATCCCAAGCAAGCTTCACGCTCACCTGGGAGCCCAATGTGAGGCTCGATCTTATGACCTGAGATCTCTCTAAAGTTGTAAATGTTTGTCATTAGAAATTCACAAATAGTACAGAGAGTGGAAAATGAATAGATTTCTCTACAGAAAGGACTTCTCTTAAGTTTCTCATTGATCCTCCCACACATTTTCTTTTTTATATAGATGCACTTTAGTGACTTTTAACTCTTTAGACTGTTTTACGCTGTATCACCACTGTAATTCTCACTTTTTCATCAAAATCCTTGTAATCGGGGCGCTTGGGTGGCTCAGTCCATTAAGCATCTGATTCTTGATCTCAGCTCAGGTCTTGATCTCAGATCAGATCTTTATCTCAGGGTTGTGAGTTCACCCTCATGTTTGGCTCCTCACTGGGTGTGGAGCCTACTTTAAAAAAATAAAAATGTATTCAGTATGGGTTTTAAAACTAACTGCTAGATTGTTCAAAAAGCCTATAGTCAAGACATGGATGGAACTGGAGAGAATTATGCTAATTGAAATAAGTCAAGCAGAGAAAGAAAATTATTATATGGTTTCACTCATATGTGGAACATAAGGAATAGCCTGGAGGACCACAGGGGAAGGGAGGGAAAACTGAATGGGAAGAAATCAGAGTGGGAGACAAACCATGAGAGACTCTGGGAAATAAACTGAGAGTTATAGAAGGAAGGGGGGACAGGGGACGGGGTAACCAGGTGATGGGTATTAAAGAGAGCAGGTGTTGTGATGAGCACTGGATGTTATCCACAACTAATGAATCATTGAACACTACACCAAAAACTAATAATGTACTACATGTTGGCTAACTGAACATAATAAAAAAAAAAAAAAAGCCTATAGTAAAGGGATAGCATTTTGATGGTAGTTTATTAATTATATTTGTAGATGTCCACAGATTGGGACTTCTTTAGAGAATAGCTTTGGCAAGTGTTAAAATAATGTGTCTATTTTATCTTCTGGGTAGAAGGTCTAGTTAATTCATTTGCTGAAGGTGCTTCGTACTCCTACTTTCTCCTCTTAGTTATGTGTGTATATAGGTGTAAGGTTGTCAAAATAAGATGATACGAGGGGTGCCTGCATGGCTCAGTCAGTTAAGCATCTGACTCTTGATTTTGGCTCAGATCATGATCTCGGGGTCATGGGATCTGAGCCCTGTATTGGCTCTGTGCTCAGTGGGGAGTCTGCTTCTCCCTCTCTCTCTGTTCTTCCCCGCACTTGTGCACCTGCTTTCTCAAATAAGATCTTTTTCTTTTTTTAAGATTTAATTAATTTATTTTACAGAGACACAGCGAGAGAGAGACACAAGCAGGGGGTGTGGGAGAGGGAGAGGCAGGCCTCCCGCCAAGCAGGGAGCCCGATGCGGGGCTCCATCCCAGGACCCCGGGATCACGACCTGAGCCGAAGGCAGACCCTTAACAACTGAGCCACCCAGGCGCCCCTCCAATAAATAAAATCTTTAAAATTAAAAAAACAAAAACAACAACAACAACAACAACAAAACACATGACTTGAGCCCTTTTCCTCCCTTTTAAAGCTATGTCCTTCAGCTTTTTGTGTTTGGCACAATTTAATAACCTGAGAATCCGGGAACTATGGCGTATATAGTCGACTAGTTCTTAGAGGATATACAGACTGCAATTGTAAGAAATTCTTTCCCCCCCCTTGAAGAAGATCTCGGGATTATGCTGATACTGCCCGTTCCTCTTACAGGAGAGGTGTTTGAGATTGAAGAACACATCAGTGAACGACAGGCTGAAGTGTTAGCCGAGTTTGAGAGGAGGAAGCGAGCCCGGCAGATCAATGTTTCCACTGATGACTCAGAGGTCAAGGCTTGCCTTAGGGCCTTGGGGGAGCCCATCACGCTTTTTGGAGAGGGTCCTGCTGAAAGAAGAGAAAGGTGCCCTTTCTCAATTTATGCTCTCTTTTTTAATCACAAGGTTCTATTTCCAAGTTTTAGTTGATACATGTAGCTAAAACTTTAATAGAATGTCTCAAATAATGTTAATACAATACCTTACTAAGTTGTTTTGTATAGTTTAGCTTATAATCCGAGTAAGCCAATTTTTCATTCTACTAATTTTTCCTTATAAACTGTGAATAAGATGTTACCATGCAAACCCTCCCCCCAATATGGGATTGTGAGTTGAGTAAATATTTGTTGTTGAACTTTGAAAATACAGACAACACACACGTTCCCCTTGTCAGTGTGGTAAAACATAACGATAAGTATTTGGGGGTGGTTTTTGAAAAGGGGCACTTTCCTCAGATGGTACTCTTGTGATTTTATGGTTTTGGAGTCTCTTAGTGACAGGCTAGTCTTCTGCATGATAATGACCTCCTTTGTCTCTCTGTCCACTGTCCCATCTCTCCCTTTCATCATTTTTTTTCTTTATCTGTGTAGTCTGCACATTTAATCACTGTAAAACATCTACTGTATCATGTCCATTAAATAGAACCAGTAATAGCTGGGCTTATTTAAATTACAAGAAAAAAAAAAACCAACCACTGTGTATCAACCCAGTATCTTACAAACCCAGCCTGGCTGGCCACAAGGGTGGGGAGGATAGGGGAGGAGGCGGCTCCCCTGGGCAAGTGGCTGGGTGGCAGGAAGGGCTAAAGGACAGAAAGAAAAGGGGACTCCCAGATGGGAGGGGACTGGTTGTCCTAAGGGGAGGGGTGCAAAAGGTACTCCGGAAGATTGGAACATGGGGAGTGGACAGGTCAGTGCTTTCTGCACCAGTGCCCAGCATTGGAGGAGGCGCTGTGTGCCACCATCTGCCTACCACCGGCATTCGGAGAACAGTGACCCATGAGCCCTGGACATGACGAGACCCTCTGATTCATGGATGACAGTCTGCCCCTGCCACCATGATCTCCTTTTCCTTGAGGCTC